GTGGGTGAAGACATGGACACATTTTGTCGTTCGTGCCACCTGTGTCATGCAGGAAGGAGATGTGAGATCCATTCGATCCGTGATGTGATGTGAGCACCTCAGCTGGCGAACGTGAGTCCGGGTGGGTCAAGTGCATTGGATTGAGGTCGTTTTGTGATCCGTCCTGTCAGTCACTTCACTCACCGTCGAAAAAGACCGACCTGCCGTTGGCCTCTCTATGTCGTGTCACTCGTATGTATGTGTGTATCATCAACAATCAGCCACCAAAGCACTCACTCAGAGGACAAGTAAGTCGACCGACATCCATCTGTCTATGTACAATCCCCCGCCCTTCTAGCTAGCCAAATGTTATTCATGTCTTCACTGCTTCTCGCCTTGAGAAGCGTCTTGGTCCCTGCCCGTCTCATCTTTGTCAGTGCGGGCCGCCTTGTGCACCCCGCCGGATGGCTGTCCGCGCAGCAGAGTGCGCTTCCGCGACAGGAGGTAGGCGTCGTATCCATCTTCCTCGCCCTCCAGGCTCTCATCCGCACGAGCAACTGAAACAGATCAACGCAGGTGGATCTGGTGAGAACGGTCTGTGTCCGCGTGTGCGTGCGTGCGTGTGTGTGGTCACCTTGTTGTTTGTCTTCCTCCCCTTCGCAGATAACGACGTCTGTCCACTCGTCCGTGTCGGTGGCCAGCAGCCGCCGTGCCGCATTCTCGAACTTGCGCTTCAGGAGTGCGCTACCGATGGGCGATGTGTCCTCCGCTTCATCTTGGTTGTCAGCGGCAGCAGCGGAAGCCATACTCGATGAACCAAACCAGACCTGAACAGAAACGAATTTGACACAGACAGAAAGCGCTTCACAGCATCATTGTTTTGGTTCCAGACCTGAACTGAATTGGCTCTTGGTGACGTTGGGGACAGAGAGCTTCTCAGAATCGTCAGATGATGCCAAAACTGACGCCGAGTCTGACGGTAATAAGGACAGATCTGCGGCTTTCCAGCCTCTGAATGCTCCTCCGAGCCTCCCTTTCTCCCTTTTTTTCTCCTCTTCACTTTGCTGACGAGGCGTCTAAGCTCGCAGCGGCGTCGGGTGCTCCCTGAAACCGAGAGTGATCTTTGTTCAGTGTGGTGCTTTCTCCCCGTTCATCTGCACGAAATACCAATGCGGCGGCCATGCTTTGCTTCCCTTCTCTCTTTGATCTACCCTCTGGCTCTCTCCCTCTACATCCGCATCGCACAAGCCTTCCGCGCCCCTCACGCCCACTCAGCTATGCCAACCAGGGCCGGCAGGCACCACGCTGACATAATTTTGTCCCGCAAGCGACAGCCTTCGACCGGCGGACTCCATGCAGTGTCATCTGCGCCGGTGTCAGCGCCTCTGGGCGACATGGCGGCGCGGCTCAAGAGGCCCGAGGTGACCGTCAAGCTGGCGGTCGACAGGAATGGCGCCGTCGATGACCTCAAAATCGCACCCGAGTCAGCCCGGATCTACCTATCGCACACGACGAGGGAAGACTGCAGTCATTGCTTATGTTCTGTCTGTTTCTGTATGTGTGTGTGTTTCAGGCGGTTCACGTGCAGTGAGGCGCTGGACAAGGTGCATCGGATCCGGCTGGCGTCAGACTGCGTGATCGTTGGTGTCAACACCATCATCCGCGACGATGCGCAGCTGACTGTGCGGCGGGTGCCTCTCGCTCCTGGGCAGTCACAGCCCCTCCGAGTCGTCCTCGATCCCTCGCTGAGGATACCCAAAGACGCACAGGCACGCACACACTCACTCGGTCGAACAGCTGCGGACGTCCACCCACCCATTTGTGTGTGTGTGATGTCTTTCTTACCTACCTTCAGGTGTTGACTGATGAGTACAGCACTGTGGTGTTTTGTGCGTCAGCGACGGACGACCCCCTGTTGGCCCTCAACCCTCCCCCCTCACGGCGGGGCGACCTCGTGGCACCGCCCGCATTCGCATCATCGCGACCCACACTCAAAACCAAAAGTCAGCAGCAACAGCAGAGAGATTTCGTTTCAGTCAGTGACCATCGACAGATTCTGTTGGTCTCGGTGGGCTGCGCGTGTGCGTGTGTGTTCAGGTGGCGTGTCGGTCGACCGCGTGTGGCTTGACGAGATCGAGGAGATGATGGAGGGCGACCAGCAGAAGAGGAAACGATGGGAAGGTAGGCCTAAGCTCAGACATATACATATCACCGCATCAGCTGCGGAACAACACAGCTCAGCTCGTGTGTGCAGCTTTGTTTGGCGGCCAGTCACCCCCATCTAAGATTTTGAGGCTGATCCCTCCAGCTACCGGTCAGTCAGCACAAGCAGCACAAGGAGCACACCATCAACCATCGGACACACAAGCCTATTTCATTTAAATGAGTTCAGGTCAGTTTGCCCGTGCGGATCGCCGCATCGGTTTGGACCTGCGGGCGTTGCTGGACCATTTGGGCCGTGACTTCGGCGTTAAACATGCCATGGTGGAGGCGGGTCCGCGGCTGGTGGACAGCTTTTTGACTCAGGGGCTGGTGGACCGACTCGTGGTCGTCAGGGCCACATCGGTTAGTACGAATCGCTGTAGGGCGGGGCGGGAGAGACACACAGGCCACTCACTCAGCCCACTCATGTGTGTGTGTGCAGGTTGAGTTCCAGGGCCAGCCTCTGCCGTCTCACGTGACGGCCGCCACACTGCAGAGGGCGGGGCTGCAACAGGTGTGTGGGCCGGTGCATGCAGGGATGGGGATGGGTGGGGGCAGACCACGCCTGCCGTGCCGCAGATGGATGCACCCGACGGACGGACCACAATGGATGGGATGCATGGGATGCGTCTGGTTGGTTGGTTGATGTGTGTGTGCAGGTGGCGAGGGGCGTGTGGGGAGCGGACGAGGTCACCTACTGGAGCAGGAAAGGCATCCCCTGGCCCACAGACGACCCGGCAAGCTGGCCGTGAACAAGGCAGACAATTCGTGATGTGTGTTTGAGGCGCGGTTGGGTGGGGTGGGGAGAGATGGGGTGTGGGCATGGGAGGCTTTTGATTGATGTCGTCTCGAGCAGACGAGGTCCAAATCGACCTTACCTTGGGGCAGCTAGTCCCTTTTTCCATGTCAGTCAGTCAGGACGGCGGTTTTTGGCGTCCGTCGGCAGGCCATGGACATGAATGACATATGTATGCAGTGAGTGCATACGACGACTGCTTACCGCTTTTATGTGAATGAATGAATGGCTGGCCACACGCGCAGACGCGCACACTGCTGTCCATGGTGTCCACTGCAAGCGCACGCACTCATCGCAACCACACGCGTGAGAGAGGCAGGCAGGAAGGAAGGCAGACCGTCGGTCGAATCGCCTACACACAATCCGTGGAGTAGACCACCCCCAGGCAGGCAGGCAAACACATAGCGCTCTTTGTCTGCTTAGGCAGGCTGGCTGGCCATTCCTTGCACGCACGCACACACACACATGGGGGGCGTTGGGGTCTCTAACCGCGACAAAGGCGCTGTCTGGAAAATTGCAAAACCCTCCCACGCATACCATACCAAATACAGTCCGTCGTGCCATGATATATGCGGCCATCCATCCATCCATCCATCCATCCATCCATTCATTCGTGTGTTGGAGTCTCTCTGTGTGCCACAGTGGCGTGGTGTGTGACTGACAAATAGGAGGTCAGGGTGTGTGTGTGTGTGATGGATCATGATGTCGTGTGTGTGTTGTGTGCTGTGTGTGTTAGGTTACGTCACCTTAGGTAGCTACAGGGGGGGACCCTCCATCCGCCCAGCGAACGAAGCACTCCGGCCTCGCTCCCTCACTCGGTCGCTCAACCAACTCGACACCCATCCCATCCCACACAACCAAACACACAGGCTTACTTAAAGCAAACACCCCCAACCCACCCGCCCCCGTAGCTATCCAACACGTGCCCCGTACCGACGGTTTATCATTGCGTTGTCACGTCCTTACATGACGCCCATCATCGATGTGACCCCTCTAGCGCTCGCCGAGCCACACGACGCGGCCGTCAGCCCCATCATGACCCCACTCGTGTGCACAGCAGCTCCCATCTCCGTCACTTCGGCCGACTGGTGACTGCCCGCCATTTGGGGATGGATGTCGAAGCGACGAATGAGCGGCAGCGACGGCATGGGAATGGGGGCGGCATTGGTGAGGGTGTAGCGGGGTCGACGGCTGTCGGAGTGGGCATCGTCCGAGTGGCGGGATGATGGTGTGCTCTGGAGTGAGAAGGGGAGCGAGGGCGGCTGGGGGGACGTCACCTCAGGCTGCTGCTGGCCGGACGGTGGGGGCGAGGGATGGTGTGGGGGGAGTAGGGGGCTCGGCGAGGCGTCGTTATCGATGTCCTCAGACATGATGCGGCCGATCAGCTCCTCGTCATATGGACCTGATACATGCCATGGATGGATGAGCCACAGACAAACACAGATAGAGCGAATGACAGGGATTGTACCGATGAATGAGTCTGCCAGAGCCTCCAGACGCGCCGGAATCAGACTACCGCCATCGCCACCTTCTCCACCACTCAACCCCGCCCCCGCACCCACACCCACACCCAGCGAACCAAACGGACATGACTGCGGGGAAGCCGGCGTGTCGCAGCTGCCCCCGTCCCCCTCACCACTCCGCTCGTCAGCCATCGGTGAGTCCTCGTCGCTGTCGTCGATGAGCAGCGACTCGGGCCACATCAGGCTGGGGAAGGCCAGCTGCTGCTGCTGGTGGCCCGCCTCATCCGCATCCCCATCTCCATCACCGCCGGGTGTGACCTCCCTCTCCTTATCGAACCAATATGTCGATGAAGCCGGGCTCGCAGGCGCCTCACCGTCGAGCAGACTGCCAGACATGATCTGGGCCAGCAGTGGTGTGGCATTGTCCAGATCGATGAACCGCTTCCGGGGGGCGGGGGAGGGAGGCGGCGCAAGGAGAGCCGGAGTATCATCGTCATCCGGCTTCCGCGTCGCGAAGCGCAGGGTGATGCGATCGAAGACCGGCTCCTTCTTCCCCACCACATCCCCGCCCGGCACCACCGACAGCCCCCGCCTGTCGTCGTAGTCACTGGACGTGCCGTCGTCCTCCTGGCTCCCGTTGCTGGCCGTCGAACAGACCTGCAGCAGCCCGCCCTTCTTGGAGGACGGAGAGAGCTCGCCACCGCCCTCGCCATCATCCGCATCGAAACACGCCGAGATGCGCTGCTCCAGCGATGAAGAGTGGGGCTGCTCACTGCCGTCCTTTGCTTTGGGCGAGTCGTGGGCGGGTGCTGGGAGTGTGGTAAAGGACATGAATCGGTCGATGGACATCGATAGGGGCATGGGGGGAGGCGGCAGGGGGCGGTGAGTCACCACATTGCGGGGATACAGCGCACGCAGGAGGGAACGGCGAACGGCCGGCTGCTGTGCAGCCGCAGCTGATGACGGGTTGACAGAGAGGGCGGGCTTCCGCTGTCCCGCCTTCTTGCCCTTGGATGCCCGCCTCCCTCTCGACCCCTTCCCCTTCTTGCCCGTCCGCTGCTTGCGAGGCGGAGGGGCGCTCGACAGCCCTTTGTTGGGCCTCGGGGGCTGTCCACTGTCCGTGTTGATGGTGGCGGGAGGGGGAGGGGGAGGGGGAGGGGGAGGGGGCTCCCTCTCGACCGCGACGGCTGCCACGTCATGCGATGCTGGCTTCTCCTGCACGTCAGCTGGGCTTCTTCGGGACCTCAGCACGCGGAACGGCAGCAGGGAGGCCGGGATGGAGCTGTCGATGGGGGGAGGGGATGGAGGAGAGGGCGAGGCGGTGCGGGGGCCGGGACGTGGAGGGGCGGGGAGAGCGGGAAGGCTCTCAGACCGACCTGACCAAACAGAAAGGAAAGACCCGAATGAATGGATGTGAATGGTGGGTGGGATGGCTGCAAAGTACCGCTTTTGGTGGCTTTGGTCTTTTTGGATTTTTTGCGTGGCGGCCGCGGCTCTTTGCGCTCGAGGGACGGCGACATCCCCAGCCGGCTGCGCTGCTCCAGCAGGTACTCGAGGGCCTCCTGCTTCCGAACCTGGCAAAAGATGACAACACAGACAAGCCGCCGCAGCAATGCAATACATGACTTACATGAGAATGCAGTCATTCCAGCACTCCCGCCAGTGCATACGTAGGTACTTACCTCCACATCGGCGTTGCGAACCGAAAAGCACTTTGAGCGTCGGCGTCCGCCCTCTTGCCACGCGACCATCCATGCATTCGCCTTCTTATTGAAACTCACACCCCTAATGTCACTCTCATACAGTCCGCCGTCAGCAGAGGTGTCCCGGGGGCGCTTCATTTGCCCGCTGCCGCCGCCATTGGGCTCCGCGGGCGGCCGCTGAGCCATCACGGGCAGCCGCCACACTCAGAAAACAGCTCTACAGTCTGTAGCATTGCCATAGAGAGCACACAGGACGTCAGCGGATGGCTGGAAGAGTGTGAAAGGGACGGCTCACCCATGGAAGGCAGGCGACAAAACGCACCAACAAGACTACGGCAAAAATACGAGCAGAGGAGCCGGACGAGCCGGTGCATGGTGGAAAGGTCCACAAAAGGGTGGGAAAGGCTGGAAAGACAAGCGATCCCTCGGAATCCTCGAGCTCGCATTTCGCATTTACGGTTGTCTTTGGGGCAAAGGGGGACACCAGACACCTGATCCACGAGTCCAACACGAAGGCCACAACCGGGCTCGTGCGTTAATCCGCTCCAGGATGCCCGTAGACGTGACGCTCATTGCTTCCCTTCTGCTGTTCCTTTCTTTCCTGCCGCCCCTCCCAGCCCTTCTCCTCACTGTGGACGCGAATGGCCCTGTGCTGGAGGACTTTGTATTCAACAACAGGCTGTATCGATGGTATCAATCACAAGAGATGTGGGAACTGCCTCTGTCGGCTGCAAGCACGGGGATCGACACCACAGCCAACCGAGATATCGATGGGAGGAAGCTTGGGACTTATGATGATGTGGGGCTGCTTGGTATGCGTGGTGGGGTGCGCTTGTTTATGAGAGATGGCCCCAAGATCAACGAGGTGGGTCACCATGGGTGAGAGGGGCAGATTGAAGTGAAGGACCTAGAGGGGATGCACACGCACACGCACAAACAGACAAACCGGTGTGTGGTCATTCACATTTCAGGTTCAAGAGGATGGCAGTGTGGTCGATGCGCTCCCTGAGGCGCCTCTCGATAAACCGACCACCGCAGCCATCGGCAAGTTCAGCAGCAAAGTGTATTTGATGAAGGGTATGAGGAGGGAGCTGCTTTCGTGTGGGCGAGCGAATGATGATTGCTTCTCTTCGTCTCTGTGTTCACTGCAGACACGACTAACCCTGTCTTGTATGCGTATGATCTCGGCAAGAACTCATGGACCAGCCTTGACTTCCCCTTCACTGATCTGGACGGTGAGACGTGCACTCACTCCCTTCTTTCTTTCTTTCTTGTCCGTCCGACCACTTCACTTGGTGCTGATTGTGATCAGGCAAGCCGCACATCAGTCTGCGCGAGTGCTCTGGCCCGTCACTCTACTACGAGAGCAACTATGGCGGTACATTCAGGTATGCATACTGGAAGCACGCACAATTCAGGAAGGCTGGCGTATGAACGTCTTGCTGTTTGCTGACAGATATGACGCTCAGGGCGAGTGGGTTAAGATGGAGAATCTGCAGGTGACAGCCGATGACTGCTTTGTTCTGAAAGGCAAGAGGAACTACGTCAATGATGCGGTGGTGATGTCGACCAATCCGATAAAATTCACAAGCGCTGATTGGACTATGATAATGGAGGGGCTACCCGGCAAGGAGAACGATCTTACGGTGAGCGGGGCTCGGTAACAGCTCAAGTGCACACAAACGGATGATTGCAATGTTTATCAGATAAGTCTCGTTGTAAACAATGGCGTATTGTTTATGAGCTTAAAGGATTCCCCCAATACGGAAACCCATCCAAATGGCCTGTGGCAATTCGACGAGGAGCAATGGTGGCATCTCGCCGACCCACCAGGTAAATGGGACATCACGTAAGATTGCATTCCGTTGCGCACTCTCCTCTCTTTTTCAGTCCAGTACGGTCTCGGCAAGCTCATGGTTGTCAGCGGGCATTTGTACGGCGTGTCTCACAACATCCTCTATCGCTTTGACATCAACCGGCGGTTTTGGTACGACACAATGAAGTTCCTCCCTGACTTCAGCAACTTCTATCAAGGAGACGGCAAAGTCCTCCTCCACAAAGGCGGCACGACCGATCCACAGCTTTCGATGCTCACACTTGATGCAGCTGGGCAGGGCACTTGGCGGGACTTGGCTTTCCCCTTCACCGGGCTCGATGGGAAGCCACACATCGACATGCTCGAGGACACATTCAGCGACATCTGGTACAAGGTGAGATGTCTTGCAATGATTTCCCTCTTTGTTTCCATCCTTCCTGCTTTGTGGATCAGACCAACTATGACGGTGTTTACCACTACGACGCACAGGCAGGTCTGGGATGCAAACCGACCATCAGCATCTGCCCACACTCACCTGTGTGCAGAGACATGGGAGCTCGCGAACAACGACAGCGGTGCTCTCACGCTTGGGGCTGATGGCACGCTCTACCTCTCATATGAGGTCACCAAGCACACGCAGATATCAACCTTCTTCAGATATGTCAGGGAGACCAAGGGATGGGAACAGCTGCATGCGACAAGGGGCTATGGGATCGGTGGGGTGGCATTGTCGCCTGGGGGGCATGTATTCATGTCTGGAGGCCGCTTCGGGGAATTCGTGGTTGAAAACACGAAACTCTGGGAGGTACAAGACACCTATGATGGCCAGGGGCTGTCCAGTGACGAGAGCAAAGGCGTCTCAAGCAAGTAGGTGAAGAGGATTGCACGTCTCTTTCCTTTCTCAAGGGCATGTCTGCAGAGTGACGTCAAACATGGCGTCAGGCGTTGTATATTGCGTGAACAAGTTTGCAAAGCAGGACCAAGAAATCACTCGGATAATCGGCTTGAAGCCCGCGCTGACGTCGAAGCACTACTACGACAGCGACTTGAAAATGAATTACTCATCCTTTCTGACACATGGAGTGACAGAATTTGAGACGGCAGCCATAAAGATACTGCTGGAGAAACACCTGTTGCTCGCCACAAATACTGTGTAAGCGGAACAATGCTGTGCTTTCCATCTGCCAACTTCCGGCGTCCACGTGTGTACTTGTTCATCAGCCAGGAGGCGGGTGGAACAAAGGCAGGTGTGCTTCAAATTATCTCGATTGACGGACAGCCCAGAGAAATTGATTGTAGGCGCGGAGAAAGAGACACATGATACTTTATGTCGTGTCTCTTGACTGTTCCGTGGTGCTTGGTGCAGCTCTGTCTCTGGAGGCACCTGTGCTGGATATGGACATCGACAGGAAGAATATCAGCGGCCACACAGTCATTGCGACCACCAAGGGGCTGCTGGTGATCAAGAACCACGACATAGCGGCATTGAGTGACCCAACTCAATCGATCAACCCCGCAGCCATCGAGAGAGCGCGGTATCCGACAGCTACAGTAGGTGGTGCGACACGCGACAAACGCATGGGAAGATGTGCGATCCTCCCCTCTGTTTCAGGAGCTCCTTCACTCCAGTGAGCACAAGCGAGTCTCGTGCTGCGGCCCCAACGGAGAGATCGCAGCCATTCTCGACACCACACACAACATCACAGTGTAATCGCACATGCAGAGCGTTCAGCCCACCAAAGTCGTCGGACCGCCGCCTGCTCTTCTGTGTGTGTCAGGTACCACTCTGATCTGAGCGTGCAGTGGACCAAGACAGTGTCTCGTTCTTTCGTAGAGGACATCGCTATCGATCCTGATCATGAGCTGGTCATCGTCGTGGGATTTGACAATAAGGTGAGAGGCAGCACGTTACCAGCATTTTGATGTGCAAAGCCATCTCAGCTTCGCGTTGTTTGCTCCAGAAATTGCCTAGTGGGAACCCGGTGCAGGTCGCATTTGTGACGGCGTGGAGTCTGACGACAGGAAACTTTGTCATGCAGCTCTTCGGATTCGATGGAGCGGTGAGGGCACCAGCTAGACACGCCGGATTACTGACTCATTCTTTTGTGTGCAGGATTTGTCCAGCAATATTGCAGATACTCGCCTTTATCGGGCTGTCATCGGCCCTGATCGATTCCTTTATATCGGTAAGGAAGGCGCACGAACAATCACATGAAGAAACTAGGTCTTCTGCACGTGACATGTATTGACAGGTGGGGAAAGCGCGGGAACTGAGACGATATTTCGCTACGATGGCAAGAACTACGAGGGGGTGGAAAAGATTCAGAAGATCGACTTTTACAACGACTTGTGGAACACTAAGTCTGCGCAAATCACCTACCATGCCCGTGTGGATCTAGCGGCACGCACCCTCCTGCGAGGCCAGCTGACCATGGCGCGACTCAAGCAAGCCACAGACAGCACATGCGAGAGACAGGGGAAGGGTCGATGGATGGATGCCTTCTTTGCATATGCGCATGTAGGTCTGACGGGACGAGCAATACATTGCGTCTGAAGGATGGCGACTTGTGTGTCGGCAGCGACGGCAGCATTGTGCTGGTGGGCAGCGCCAACAGCCAGATCAACAACCGAGATGCAACACGATTGGACGGCGCTAAAGTCGGGGAGTATGCTGGTCAGCTGTAGGGGGCTTAGGACACCACAAAGTGCATGCCCCTGTGTCTTTGCCGTGTGGTGTTTGCAGGTGCTGAGCCTTCACTGCTTTGGGTTCGGCCTGACTTCCGCGGTAAGTCTAAGGAAGACCGTACTGTATCTCCATTGCACCTGCCCTTCTCTGACTTTCATGCAGGTAGGAATGGGTGGAGCGTCATGGTGCTGGGCGACAAGCACAAGGGCGGTACACTCAACGCATGCGACATATGGTCAATGACAAGATGAAGACACAAACAAATCACAAACACACGGCCATTTGTGTGTCTGCATTTCACTTCAGGGACGAGACATTGGCCGTCAGCGGTCACATCAAGGCCAGCAGTGAATCCAATGATACATCAATGGCAGGCTATGCGCCGACGAGCGATAGCGCCATCATCAAAGAGCCGCTGTTATCCTTCCCCACAGCAGCGGAAGGGGATGGTGTGACCACCACGTTGCAGGCGGGGTGGATGGCCACTGTCCCATTGAGGCTTGAACCAATGAACATCACCTACACGGACGATAGTGATAGTACATCAGCAGATGGCGACGACAGTGAGTCGTCGGCTGTGGGGCGGGAGGTCAGACACGGTGTGTTGGTGAGTTGTCTCTTATTGGTGGCTGCTGCGACACGTTTTGTAGTGAGGGCCTGAGTATGTAGACGTTGTTGCATGTGTACACGTAGACTTGGAATTCTTGATCGCTAGGGATGAAATAATGGGAGCCCTAAGAAAAGCGTTTCGTTTTCTTTTCAGCATTGTTGATGGTGGTGCGAGGCGGTCTACCCCTTTCCTTCCTCGTCGTGCTTCTCTCAGCCGCCCCCCCTCCCAATCTCAAGGCGGCAGAGGACGCAGCCGCCTGTGACCTCACAGAGGGCTTCGACACTACCAACTGCAGCACCCCGCGACGCCTCGACGATGGCGACCTCCCCAAGCCTCCCGAGGCGACCAGCCTGGTGCTCGACCAAATCGCACAGCAAACTCGGCAGAAGGAGATGGCTGCGGAGAAGGAGAAGCAGCAGGTGGCAAACCTAGTGGAGAAGCAGGATGCAGCGTCCGATCAGCAGGAGAGGGAGGCCGTCGAAGCAATAGAGGACCGAACAGGCAGCGACGTCCCCGAAAAAATCAGCGTCGCCAACGACAGTCAGATGGCCGCCACCGAAGAGGAGCAGGCCCCACCTATCGACACTGGTGCCCTTTTACCATCGGATCAGGTGCTCGCCCCGCCGCCCGTCGCCACGGACGCGAAGGAGCGGGGCATGGATGGCCTCTACGGCTCTTTCGAGTACATCCATCCCATGCCCAATGCCAAGTTCGTGTCGCCCCTCACCAGCATCGCCGTCAGGCACGGGGCCACCCTGCTTCAGGACAGCTACACGGCCGGCCAGATTCGCGTGGTGGGCAAGCAGTCGGGCCAGCAGATGGGTGAGCTGGTGCTGGGTGATGATGCAAAGACGCTGCTCTTCTACCCGAACGGGAAGCTCACCCCAGGCGAGTGGGTCGACGTCACTGTCAAGCCGGGCATACGACCGAAGTATGGCAAGGCAACTGCGGCATTCTCATGGGGATTCCAAGTGTCGCCCAAGGCCATCAAGACATACCGGTTCAGCAAGAGGGGCGGCTATGAGATGGTCACCAGCAAGCAGCAGGAGCAGCAAGAGACCAAGAACGTTCGGCCTCTGGTTGCCAGGCCATCTGCCGATGACGCGAGTGATGACAGCGGTGACAGCGAGAGAGAGCGTGCGGCTTTCGCGGAGCACAACAGCATGTTCGCCCACACCTTCGCAGCCATGAAGCATGATGACCGGCCGATAGTGGGCGATATGGTCACAATGGGGCAAGGACAGGAGAACGAGTGGGAAGTGATGACCAAAGACTACATCACCATCCCATCCGACTTCCCTCACGTCCGAGCCAACAACCGCGCGGCAAGGCAGGGCAGACAAGACGCCCTGGGAGAGGGCTACATCTTCGCAAGCAACATCCGGTGGCCCGAGGACACCTACGTGGGCTTCCTGACCATATTCGACGACAACGGAGACATCATCTGGTACCACGCCCTCAACAAGACCAGCGATTGGTCGCTCATAGACTTCAGGAAGCAGCGCAACGGCCTGCTCACCTACCACGACACACGCAAGCAGGCCTATGTGGAGATCGACCACCACTACCGCAGCAGCAGAGTGCTGCACCCAGGCCACGGCTACTGGGCCAACGGGCACGGTATGCAGATCCGAGAGGACGGCTCGCAGCTGTTCATCATCTACGCTGAGGAGAAGATGGACGTGACGATGATCAGCAAGAAAAGGGAGCGCTCGCAGGTGGTGGGGCAGGTGGTGCAGGAGATAGACCCCAGCGGCAATGTGCTGTGGGAATGGAGATCATGGGACCACCTGCCATCGTCTTTCACCGAGACGAGAGCCGTCGATCAGCTAGATAAGGGCTACTGCGATCATATCCACCTCAACAGTGTCGACTGGACGCCAGACGGCCATATCCTCATGTCTTTGAGACATCTCGAGCAGATCCTCAAGGTAAGGGAACGACGCCTCCCTCCTTCTGCCGTGTTTGTATCGACTGTCTGTATTTGTTGTGGGTCAGGTGAGCCGCTGGACAGGAGAGACCATGTGGCGGCTCGGTGGCGATGCCAACGAGTGGACGTTCACCAACGAGGACCGGCCCTTCAGCCACCAACATGACGCCCGCATTCTGGATAACGGACATTTGACTATATTCGACAACGGCAATCTCGCCGAGCCCCAATACTCGCGAGCCGTGGAGTGAGCATTCGCTTTCACCAACACAACACACACAACCTACCTCTGTTCACGTCTTTCTCTCCTCCCCTTCCCCAGGTACGAGCTCGATCAAGTCAACAAGGTGACCAACACACAGCCAGCCACAGAGACTCCTGCACACATGCAGTGTTGTGGCGTTGATCAGGTGGCGACGAAGGTGTGGGAGCATCGCTCATCGCCCGACCGCTTCGGCATGGCCACCGGAGGCCTTCAGCGGCTGCCCAACGGCAACAGTGTCATCTGCTGGGGAGGGGTCGGGCGGCCGGAGAAGCTGCCCTTCATGTCGGAGGTGACTGAGGATGGCGAGGTGATGATGGAGCTGGAGTTCGTGGCAAAGGAAAACTCATACCGGGCATCACGGTGAGAGGCCGACACGGACAGACGGATGGGTGGGTGCAGTCATCTCTATGTGCGTGTGTGTGCGTGATGGATGTAGCAGAGCTGCGTGGTGGGGGAGGTCAGAGGAGCCTCCAGTGCTGATGCTCAACACCAAGGAGACACTCAAACACCCACAACTCCACTTCTCGTAAGAATGCTCCCCCCCCTCTCACCTCTCAACACACCTGCACGTCTTTCTGTCCCCCAGGTGGAATGGCGTGACAAACATTGAGAGCTGGAATGTGTACGGCAGCGAGACGCGGCTATCATTGCCGCAGAGCAAAGAGCTGCTGCAGCTGATCACCAGCATCAACAAAACGCGGTTCGAGGAGTCTTTCCCCCTTGTCGACGGCCTGCCACAGCTGCCCTGCTACTATTATGTTGTGGAGGCCCTCAACAACGGCACATCGCTGGCCTTTTCAGACCTCATGTTTGTCGGCCAGCAGCCTGAACAATGTCAGTAAAGGTAGGCAGCAGAAGTGCGACGACACGGGTGGGCACGTCTCTCTCTCTCTCTCTCTCTCTGGCTGCGTGTGTGTCTCTGTGTGTTTTGATGTGCAGCGTGTGATTCGACAACCAAGTCGTTTGCGCACCCGATCAACAACTCGTTTCCGATTCGTTCTGTGTATTGGCTGGCGGGGCTGTCCATCGCATATCTGTTCCTCGCCGTGGACAGTCTTATCCACGACCATAGCAACTAAATACATACATACATGTCCATCTGTACTGACTGGTTCGTGTGTCTGTGCGCGATGGATGCCATTGGTGTGACTGTTTTGCATGGCGTGGCGTCTCGCTCGTCTGTTTCTGTCAGTTGTTTGTATTTGTCCGAGTGTGTCCGCAGCTCTGTACTTGTGTCTTCGTGTCTGTCACACGTGTGGGCAAGCTGGGCAACACAGTGAGGATTTCTCAGTGCCCCGATTGTGAAGTGTGCGGGAAGGGATGCCAGCGTGATGCGTGGAGGGATTGTCTGTGTGTGCATGGTGTCAACTGTGTTCTCTGTCTCTCTGCCTGTGTGTGTTGCGTGTGCTCGTACGTGGTCGCCAGCCCCCCCTGCGTACAATGGCTGGATTGATGGATCGCGTGCACGGCTTCACAGTCACTAATTAACACGTATGTCGATACCGATGCACATACACATGCATCGACACGACAGACACACGGAAGTCAGCTGGTCGATAGATAAGTCGATAAACGTGGCCACGCACGCACTCACCGTTCCACCCACCAGCCACGTGTAGACACCAGCACACACACGCAAATGGCATGATCTCTCCCCATCCGTAGTGCCTTACTGGGTGTCGTCAGACTGTGTTGGATGGATGGGTCAGACTTGAATAAATCAGTAGTCACTGAGTGAAGTGAAGTGTATGCACCCACCTGCAGACATCCTCCAACACCTAGCTAGTCACCCGACCTCTCCCTCCCTCTGCCTTTTCTCTTCCTTGAGCACCAGACGCAGCGACAGTTCGGGAAACCGTACTTGGCTGTCACCCGGCCCCGAGGCCCACGGCCAGTGGAGAAAAGCCTCATTGCTACCCTCGTATGTGCCACTGACTAAACTCAGGCATTCCTCGCCAAAGGCACGCACAGCAGCCTCGAGCACTTGGCACCCATCATCAGATGCATCGTCCTCCCCCGCCCCTTCCCCCAGTGAGCCCTGTGAGCACTCACCTGCGTCGCCACCAGCATCTTCCTTCCCGCCTGGCTGCCCCTGCCCCTCTGCTGGCCTGTCACTCTCTGAGTGTGCGATGCATGTGGTCAAGTCAGGTTGCCAAGAGAGGCTGCGACGTCTACTGCTGACGTGCTGCTCCTCTGTGGCCTCTCTGTCTAGGGCCCCCTCTGACTTGGACTCTCCCTCCCACTGAAACAGCTCGTCTGACCCGTCCCACGAATCGTCGCCCATAAGTGACCCAAACACCAGGTCATCGGCGAGCATATCGACAGCGACAGACACCTTGTTGGCACGGATGGACGTCACAAGAGAGAGCAGGTAGCGCATATGTGCCTTGCTCAAACCAGGGCCGCACTCATACTCGCCGGGACAGCTAGTGGATGCGTTGTGTCGGATATGAATGCGATCGACTTGAGGGAAGGTCAGGCCGAGAGCCTCACACTCGTGACCGTCAGCCAGCTCCCCTGCCTCTCTTTCGAAATCGAGCTCAACGTGGTCTAAGGGGTGCGGCAGGGATGAGAAAAAAGACAGGCACACGGCCATGTCCCTCAGAGACGAAGCCCTTAGGTACACGTGGGTCACTCGCCTCAGGCTGCCCACCAGCGCCCGAAGGTCGTGGACTTCAGGATCGCTGGTGGGCAGGCGAGAGGCGAAGCGAGCAGCGGAGCGACACACCATACTGCAGCAAAAATGCTCTACAGCCGGCAGGAAGCGATTGTTGCCGTCAGCTGTGGTCTGGCTGAGCCAGTGGGGCACGCTGCCGGCCAGCTTGCCGACTGGTACGCTGTAGTCGGACTGCTCGAGGGCGAAGTGTGTGACACGGGGGAAATCGCACACGTCCTGCCAGCTGTCGTGTAGCGGCGAACCTCCGAACGACAAGCGCACCTGCACACATGCACCCACACACGCAGGCAGACATCCATCCATCTGATGATTACCTGTGCCTGCCTGCCTGCCTGCCTGTCCTTGGTCGACATACGTACCATGGTGCACTTGGTGGCAGTTTCTCTGATGGCCGCTGCCCCGATGCCGCGGGGCGCGGGCGGGGGCGAAGGCACGTCGGCGCTGCAGTCCATCACCATGTCGTCCCAGCCCTTGGTCCCTGAAGTGCATACCCAGAGACGTCACGGCGACAAACTCATGGATGAGTCGCTCACCTTCGTCTTCCTCCGGATCGAAGTCATCCATCAATGGATCGTCATAGCAGCGATCGTCGGTGCGTGGCAACCATTCAATGGTGCACGCCACCCCCCGCGCCCATGTGAGCAGGTCGGTCAAGCTGTTGGACACGGCCGCACCCAGTATGAAGCGGTGGTGGAACGTGATAGTCTTGAGCACGCCTGAAACACAACACGAACACGAGCACATTTCGCATTGCATGGATCTGGATCTCCCAGCCCACAGCCCGCAGCAGACCTACCCCTCCTGTAGTAGCTCGACCAGTGTGTGTCGAGTGCGGCCTTGAGCTTCCCCAGAGTGTCATAATTGGTGTCAAGGAGCGTCAGGCCCTTGATGCTCGTGAGGCGGGGGCACCTAGCGAGGGCCTTGGTGAGTGCATGCCACTGGCTCTCGTCGGCGGGAATATCGATGACGTCGCCCTCGAGCGACGTGAGTGCGGGCGATGACGACACGATGTGCACAAGGGCGGCAGTGAGATCCTCAACAGGATAGTACTGGGGAATACGATAGTGAGACTCATTCCCACACACGAGTCCCACTCGCAGCGTCTTCAGAGTCGGGAAGGCCCAACGGCGATGCCTGAGTGTACACACAGACACCGACACCGTTCGCTCTCTTGGCACATGCATACAAACATTGTACCTACCTGCACATTTGGATGAAGCTGTTGTCGACCACATCGAGCGTCTCCAGGATCGGAAACACCAACGGCTCGCCGCGTCGGCGGCGGCGTCGCTTCACGTCACGGTGGACGTCGTTACCGCACTCGCCGCCGATGGTCACGTGTGTGAGCGTGGCCCTGGGGCAGGCACCGGCGCCTGTGTCGACCGTCTGCAGCCGCATCTGTAGACAGGCGAACACAGATGAGTAGATATGTGTTGTGTGTACTGCTGACCACCCACCAGTCGCTTCTTGAGTCCCTGAATGGCCTCATGCTTCGCCAACTTTCTGGTCTCGCCCCGCCTATGCCACCAATCCAACATCTGCAACAGGAGGAAACACACAGGCAGCAAAGCGCTTGGCCATCGATCAGGTCAGTGTGCATCTTTGCCTTCTTCCCTCACCCAGTCGGAGTCACAGTCTGTGTCGTCAACAAGTTCTTCGATCGCCCTCCACCTGTGATGATCCCACGGATCTACGGTAAGGCTACGGCAGATGCCGGCTGCCGTGTCGGTGGTCCTGCTGTACATGGTGCGGCACACGGCGGACAGGGGCACCCGCTGCATCAGGGGGAGAAAGGACGTCATCGCCCACACCAGTGCGCCATCCAAACCACACAGGCCCGGGGGGTCGCCCGAGGCTCCTGCTGCTGCGCTGCTGGACGCGGTCTTGGACGAGTGAAGCTTGCGCGAGATGCGAAGGAAACGCAGCTCCTGAATTGAGAGACCCACAGAGCGACACATCACCTGGGAGTGGCAGTGTGCTGTTTTGCACACCAGGCTCTCGTTAGAGCTCGGATGATGCAGCTTCTCGCGAGCCTTCGCGTCTTCCTCCCTCTCACGATGGGCTGCAGCAACCATCACGGGACAGACACAATCAGTGCCTGTGAGTGCATATGTTGGTGGCCAGCATGGTTGCACCTTGTTGCTTCTGCTGGTGGCGGAAACCTTCTGGGCCGAGGGCACTCGAAGGGACCCCAGCATTGCGCTCGAACAGGGCTCTCAGTTTCCCCACGGCAGCCATCAGCCTTCGTATGGGCGAAGGCTATGAATAGATCTCAACTCCCGCAACGTGGGCTTCTCAGCGGGGCTTCTCAACGCTTTTCACGTCAAGCTGCATCTATAATATGGGCGCCATTTCATCACCCCTACTCAAAAATCGCGAGCTATAGCGCGCGAGGCGTGGAGTGGCGGGAGGGAGATTCCTTGCAAACGACGCAATTTAGACGACCTGGTTGGCACTGAAGACAGATTTCGAATAGAACACTCGAGATCCGTGCTCTGTGTGTCCTGTCCATGCAGCTGCTGCGAAAGACGGCGGACACACCTTCTCAAGTCCCTCCAGTGAGGGGAGAGCACTGCCCTGAGGGGTGGGCGGCATCATGAAGCACTCGACACCCGTCACAGGGAGTCGAAAAGAGAGGACGAGAGAGTTCTTCCGGGGCCAATCTGTACTTCTTCTCGGCGTGACGGGCACTGTGGGACAGGTGCGGGAGTGAATCACTGGGGGTGGCATCACTCCTATGTGTGCATCATTCTATCTGAGCATTTGTCACATCTGTGATGGTTTGTGCGTTAATCGATCTGTGTACATACAGGTGGTCCTGGAGCGTTTGCTGCGGTGTGCGCCCCCTCGGCGGTTGTATCTGCTGACCCGCTCCACCCCGAAGGCTTCCAGCACCCAGCGCATCATCGACTTGCTTCAGCAGCCCCTCTTCGCGGCCCTGCACAAAGGGCTGCGTGACGAGGAGGGCGAGGCACACAGCGACGATAGCACGGCCAGTGATGATGATGGTGGTGGTGACGGGGGCGGCTGTCGATCTCCCCAATCGTCGACACAGTCCGACGAGGAGCTTCTGCTGAATGGATTTGGGATTCACGTCATCGAAGGAGACCTGCGAAAGGTGCGCTCGTTACCACGGCACGAGCTGTGCTGCACCCGTGTCTGTCCGTAGTGTGTGAGCATCTCTGTGTGCGTGTTTGTCGTGTGTGTGTATCGTCAGGAGTACCTGGGTCTCTCTGAGAGGGACCATGAGACACTCAAGGCCAATGTCACAGGTACGGTACCTTGGAAGATCGGATTGACCACATCAGCACATTGACTATCTGCTTGTGTCTGTCTGATCCATCCGTCCGTCCGTCAGTGGTGGTGAACTGCGCGGCGAGCATCAATTTTGAGGACCCCTTCCCGCAGCTCTTCGACCAGAACGTCGTCGGAGCCCTGCGCGTGATGCAACTGGTCAGCCAGTCAGTCAGCATGTGTGGCTATTGGTTTGTTCGCCCATTTCGCGTACTTGTGTGTCATGCAGGCCATGTCGTGTGAGGGCGTCCGGTCGTCGGGGTGTTTTGTCCACGTGTCCACTGCATACGCCAACTCAAACAGAAGGCAAGCAAAGCACACACTTCGTGAGTGAGGCAAACACAGGCACACGTCAATGGGCCTCATGTGACTGACGTTATGTATCGATCAGCGGTGTGATTGAGGAGAAGCTCTACGAGTCAGACATCGATCACGAGGTGGGTGGGGTGGGCAGGCCACACAGTCAAGCTTGACGCGGAAATCCTGACTGACGTGCTGTCTGTCTGTCTGTGTGCAGCATACGTTCAGTGAGCTGGGCCGCACGACCGGCGAGGAGCATGAACGGCTGGCAGAACAGCTCAGAGGTGGGCGGGGCGGGGCGGGGTGGATGGGCTGGTTGGTGGCGCAACCAACATGCCATTGTATCTCCATCATGTGTGTAGTGCGTTACGGTCACCCGAACCACTACACCTTCACTAAGTGCCTGGCCGAGCACCTCATCGACTCGCGGCACGGCGACATGCCCACCCTCATTGTCCGCCCCTCCATCATCGGCTCCACATACAAGACACCATTCCAAGGATGGACGTACGCTCCCCAGGGTTTTGGTACATTGGTCGCCGTCGGAGCGTTTGGCGGCTCCCTCAGGCTGCCCAGCGACGGCATGGCCATCGGTAGGCTGTTCTTGTGCTCTGTGTACTCATCCATTCTCTGTTGTGCCTGCGTGCGTTTGTGTAGGTGATGTGATCCCGTCGGATTACGTGGCATCGGCGATCATCAAGGGCGCTGTGGCAATGGCAGGTGCATAAATGCTGACACACACAAACTGCATACCATTTGTGTCTTGTCTATCCATCCCTCCATTGTATGCAGGCCGTGTTGGTCATTTGGAGGTCATGCATGTGGCGTCGTCGCATACGAACCCCATCACATGGTCAGCAGCCACCCTCACGACACACCTGCATCCGTCCGTCTGCATGCGTGTGTCGGTTTGTGGCTGGTGTGTGTGTCTTCCTGTGTGCAGGAATGAGCTGGCCCGCCATGCTGTGAAGGCCATCACACAGCAAAACTCCCAAAACAGAATCCCGAAGAAATACATGATTGGTACCCCTGCCCTCCCTCAACCAACATACAAAGAGAACATACAAAGAGAGGCAGGCAGTCTCTTTCGTCCTGTGCCTACCAGGTCCTCGGCTTGTGGTCAAGTGGTGTGCATCTTCGAAGAGATACGCCGTCCTGCATGTACATAAGACGGACAATCATCAGTCAAATCGAAAGGACGTCCTTCTGCCTTACCATGATCAGGCGATGAACGATGCGGCCGTTGTGGTCGGCCACTCAGTTGCGGCGCGGCTGAGTGGTGTCTTGCCGTCACAAGGGAGACAATTGTCCAAGTTGTTCAAATTCCTGGGGCGTCGACAGAACGTGCTCAAGCTGCTGCACCCCTTCATCTGCAACCAGTGGACTTTCAAAACCGACAAGGCACGCGACCACAACACAGACAGAAAGACAGACAGACAGACACTGATGGTTGCATCAATCTCTCCTGATGTGCAGATGAGTCAGCTTGCCCGAGGAGATGATGAGCCAGATTTTCCCCTCGACGTGGAGAACATCGACTGGTATGCACTAGGCCCCATAGGCGCCGACCCATTGCTATGTATGGGTCTCTCTCTGTCTCTGTGCGTGTCTGTCAGGGAGCCGTGGTGCAAAGACTACCTAGAGGGTCTGTGCCGCTACTCCCTCATCCCGACCCTGGAGCGCATCACCGCACGCGACGAGGAGCTTCCCCAATCCAAACAGCCACTCAAGCCCTCCACCTTCGACACAATGTCACCCTCAAGAATGAGCATTGCCAGCACGTGCACGGGCAGCCCCTCCTCGAACCGTACGAGGAGGAGGTTGGCTGTAAAAACAAATCAGCGGCGGGACAGAGGAGTCGATGGATAGCGTGTGGTCGACAGGGCGGAAGGCGTGTAGCCTCGAGGGTCTGACGGGATTTGATGAGTTTTCTCATTGGGTGTGCCTCCCTTGCCTTGCCTTGCTTCATGTTGGACCATCTCGGTACTGAACATGCTGTCTGTGTGGCGGGGCGGTATGGGTGTCTGTTCGATCATGAATGGGTGTATTCCTGTGGGTGCGTGAGTGCGTCTGAGGCAAGATGGCTCGCTTGTGCTGGCTTGATGTTGGACTGGGGAAAGGGGAGGCCTTCTGACCTGGACTCCAGTGTGTGGCCGCCAGTTTGTTTTTGTGCATGGGGAACGGCCGATTTCAAGTGACTCTCATGGCATGGCTGCGCCGCCGCCTGTCTGTCTGTCGTCTGTCTGTCTTCCCACACCGTGCTGAGCTGGTCGTATGCTTACCACTTTAGTCACTATGTCGTGCGTTTTGTGTAAGACATCGGCGGCCCCTCGATCACTGAATGGTGCGATTGACTGACTGACTGACTGGCTTCTCGTGCCATGTGTGTTGGGCATGCTGCGGTGGCCACAGGACAGCACTTCGCCTCAATCATTTAGGCGAAGGCCATGCCTGCGTACATCCACAGCTGCCGTCACATGGCCGTGTGTGGGTGTCGAGGGGGGGGGGGGA